TGTCACACTACAACACATCACATCACAACACAGCACAACACAACACACCGTAATATATCACACTACAGCAAACCACAACATATCACATCACACCACATCACACCACACCACACCATACTACATGTCACACTACATCACATCACCACAACATATCACACTACAGCAAACCACAACATATCACATCACACCACCCCACACCACTCCACTCCATACCATGGTACATGTCGCACTACAACACACCACATCACACCACACCACAACATACCACAATATATCACACTACAGCAAACCACAACATATCATACCACATCACACCATACTACATGTCACACTACAGCACATCACATCACAACACAACACAACACACCGTAATATATCACACTACAGCAAACCACAACATATCACATCACACCACATCACACCATACTACATGTCACACTACAACACATCACATCACACCACCCCACATCACCCCACTTCACACCATAGTACATGTCACACTACAGCGTACCACACCACACCACCATATATCACACAACAGCACACCACAACATATCACATCACACCACAACATGTTGCTCTACTAGAAACCACACCATACCACAACATATCACACTACAGTACACCACCCTATATCATTTCACAGCACAACACACCATACCCCAGCACAGCATGCCCCAACATAGCACACTACAGTACACCACAACATATAACTCCACAGCACACCACAACATACCACACCATACTACATCACAGCATACCACACCATATCACTTGCCATAAAATTGACACTTACCACAATGCGTCATATCACAGAACACCACCTGCCATAAAATTGGTTCTGATGCATGGCCATTCCATGTGTATCAGAGTAAAACTGTGCCGTAGGGTTTTCAATGGCTACTTTTTTTTTAATTCACATTGCTTTGCATATAATCATTCATATACATCATGTTTTGTACATGTACTTTGTGTTTTATAGAGTCACTCATACACACTATGTTTCATTCATGTGCCTTGTGTTTTATACGCTCATTCATATGTATTATATTTTATATAATTATCATTTTTTCTATGTCTATTATCCCTTGGTCTTTTCAAGTCACCATTGGACATTTCCCAATCCTTCACCACTCACAACCACTGACATCCGCTAACATCCCAGTGATTCTTTCTCCCCTTCCCTCTTTCCTTCCCTTCCTTCTCCCCTTCATCTCCCCCTTTTTTGTGCATATCTTGCTGATTTTCCAGGACTAGTTGTAAAGTCTTTCTTAGAAGATGCCTCTTGGATGAACTCAACCCCCTAGTCCCAAAGCCTTTCTTAAAAGATGCCTCTTGGATGAGCTTAACCCCACCACCACCCCAAGTCTTTCTGTCTGTGGCTGAATGAATTAACTATTCGTACCACTCCAGCTTCAGTACAATAACATGTTAACGGCCAGCAGAGCATCTTTGCTTTGTTTCCACTGACATCCCATCTCCATCTCCATTGCTGCTGTGATAGTGCATCCTCAGCTGAAAGTGACAGCCTAACATCTGGGTTGCCCAGCTGTGGGAAAGGCCATGTGGATGGCTCAGCAGATGATCTATTGCAGCCAATCAGCTCTACTCTGAGCCCACCTGCCAGAGGTTCCCCTTCACCAAGGCTCAGACCTGGAGCCTGGAGCCCTGCTGCTCCCCCAGCACAAGGGAGATCAGGACAGCAGCTCCAAAAGGCTGGCTCTGTTATGAATATTCCTAATTTGGTGATGTCCCCGGGTGAGTCATTTAGAGTTGAATGCTGAAGATTAAAACAGTCTGTTTTGGAGAGGAACATCTGGTTCATTTGTGCTCTTAGCAGTAACAGCACCAAGCCAGTTTTGCTTTTTCTGATCTAACGGCAGAGCCAGCTTGCTGGGAGGAGAGCAAGGCTGTAACAGCTCCATGCTCCTGCGCCATCATGGCATTCTGCCTCCAGGCCTCTGCCTGCTCTGTCCCTGCCCGGCTGGAGTGTTTAATACTCTCCCTACCTCCCTACCACCTGTCTTGGTTTAAGTTCTCTAGAGAAGAAACAGTAATAAGGCAGATATATCTATATATATATCTATATATCTATATATATATCGATATATAAAGATATATATATAAAATAAAGCAGGAGCGGCATCCACTTCCTATACAACATGACTCTGGAAACTATGAACTTTGATAAATGAAAATAGTTATAAAACAAAGTTCAGGTCTTTTGTTCATAGGGTCACTACGAGTCATGCTCGACTCAACAGCACTTAATAACAGTGTGTGTGTGTGTGTGTGTGTGTGTGTGTGTGTGTGTGTGTGTGTAGAGAGGGGGGAGGGAAAGAGAGAGAGAGACTGAGATTTCAAGGAAATGGCTCCTGCAGCTGTCAAGGTTAACAAGTCCCAAACGGAAAAAAAAAAAACCAAGTCCCAAACGGGTGTTAGGATTGAGGTGTTTCTTGATTAATTGATTTCTTGATTAATCTTGATCAGTAAATAGAGTTTCAGGCACTCATGAAGCCAGAGTTAGCAGGTCAAGCAGGCATGCCGGGTCATATCACAGGGCCAGAGGTCAGATGATGACAAGTCAGATTTAAGATTGAGAGCAAGAAAGGTTTGATAAACAGGATCCAGGCCAGACTCCCCCAGGGAAAATCCCTTTACATCTGATAGCAAAATGAAGGATATTTACACAACTTGATGCCCTGGCTTAACCACGTTGACCTAGAACATTAGCCACCACGCTATCTGCATAAATCCTTCCTCCTCCTTCGAGTCCACAGTCCCTGGAAGGCTCTCTGCCCACAGTGACTATCTCTTATTACCACTCCCTCTGTCATTCAGTCACCATACACTTCTCCAATGCCATTGTGTGTGTAAGGTGTAACCGAGTCACAGAAAGATTTCTGTGAATGTAGTTAGTGCTCAGGGAACTCTGGTGGTGGTCTAGTGGGTAAGGAATTGCCCTGCCAATCCAAAGGCAAGTAGTTTGAATTCACCAGCTCCTCTATGAGAGAAAGATGGGCAATCTCCTCCCCGGAAACTTACAGCCTCTGAAACCCAGCTGGAAGGTCAGCTATAAGTTGATTTTATTTGACAGTACATACACAACAACAATAATTTCATGCTCACCAAGGAAAAAAAAATAGTGATTTGCTAACGTGAGACTATAAACTAAAGAAAGCAAGCCATGTCTCAAATGGATGTATGCACACCCATGTTTATTGCTGCATTATTCACAAGAGCAAAGAGATGGAAGCAACCCAAATGCCCATTAACAAATGAATGGATAGAGAAACTATGGTACATTCACACAATGGAATATTATGCAGCAGTGAACACAACATGGGGAATCCTGCTTCTATTGAATTCTATTCAATAGAGTTGTGGATTACACAACATGGGGAAGCCTGGAGGATATTATAGTGATATTATAGTGAGTGAAATATCTCAGCCCAAAAGGACAAATACAGCATAACACCATTGTTCTAAAATAGGACAGATGGGTAGGTGGGGGGTGGAAATAATGAGAAAAGAGCAGATAGAAAGTGAACACTGCATTAGAACAGACGAGGAGAAGAACTTTCCGAGAGGAATATATGATTAGGCATTATGTGTATCACAACAGTCTGGAACAAGGGGTGCATTGTGAGGAGAGCTAGTAAAGCGGGGAGGGGAGAGGGGAAGAAAATGGGCAACAATTGGAAAAAAATTTAAACCTTTGGAATGCTAAAAAAAAATAAAGTGAGACTATAATTAGTGGTAAAATCAAAATAGAGTTTGTCTCCCTTGTCCCTGCCTATATTTCATTTCTCTGACTCATTTTCTTCATCTTCCCAGAAGCCCAGCATGTCTCTCTCTGCCCCACAATCAGGGCTGAGATTGGTTTTTGAAGTTAGCTGTTGTTACAGGGAGAAGGTTGTTTGGAAACCACCTCCTTTCTTTTGGCTTGTGCTGGGCTCATGATCTAGGACCCCTCTCTTTCATTCACTCTCCTAAGGCATCTGATCCTCTCTCTTGCAGTTCTGGCAGTGTGGACAATGGGTGGACGTGGTGGTAGATGACCGCCTGCCTGTCCTGAACCACCAGTACCTCTTCGTACATCCTCGCAGAGACACCCGCGAGTTCTGGCCCTGCCTGCTGGAGAAAGCCTATGCCAAGTAAGGAGGCTCCTGGCCCTCATTGGGAACTCACTCCTGACCTTGCCCAGACAGAAGCTTCTTACCAGCTGGCTCAGGGCTTTCCACAACTCTATTGAATAGAATTCAATAGAAGCAGGATTCCCAGGAATACCTGGGTCTTTGCCTGGACAGCCTCTATAAACAAACACCACATGTAAGGCCCTGAGTTAGGGCCACCAGAAAGGATCCAACAGCACAAAACAAGTGGTAGGCAGGCCAAAGCAGGGACAGAGATTTGTACTATCAATGGTATCACTGCAAAGGCTGGCATAAAGCCTGAAAGGAAATATGATAGCATATCCAAAGCTGACTGAGAGGACAGAGACAGAAAAAAAATAAAGTCCTGAATTCCTGAAGGTCTAGAGGGGAGGTGGCATTTTCAGGAGGGTTTGAATGATAAGTAGAATTTCAATAGAAACCGAGAAGCAGTGAGGCTGTCATCCCCATCAGTGGGCCTGGCTCAAACTCACTAGTTAAAGGATAATTCAAGCTGAGGTCCAAGTAGCCTGATGTGATGCTGCAGGATTATATTTATGTGTGAGGTCAGGGGCAGAGGCTGGAGATGGTGTTCATCAGGTGGTCAGAATATAGTGAATGGACTACATGTTGCTACTGACAAACTCAATGACATTATCCATGTCGCAATCCACATATCCAACTTAGACTCTTTTGGTGGTCTTTATTTAAAAGACGTTTGTTGAGAATTCTAACTGTATAACAGGCACTATACTTGACACTGGGGTAGGGATCAACTACAGTGGATGTAAGAGTTATGTCTATATGCATGTGTGTATGTGTGCATGTGTGTGATGCTGGCCTAGTGCTAAGGAGCTGGGCTGCAATCCCAAAAGCACGCAATTCAAATCCACCAGCTGCTCTGTGGGAGAAAGTGAGCAATCTCCTCCTCCGCAATTAAACTGCTCCTGAAAACCCGCTGGACGGTCAACTATGGGTTGGTTCCCAACTTGATGGTACACAATGATGTGAACCAGCAACAGTGTGTACCAGCAACAATGATGTTGCTGTAGGTTGTAAGAGGAGCAACACATTATCAGTTGTTGTTGTTGTTGTTATGTGCCATTGAGTCGCTTGCGACTCCGTAGCGACCCTATGTACAACAACCCTAAACTCTGCTCTGTCCTGTGCCAATCTCATTGTCTCTGACACTCCCATAGAGGGCCTTCCCCTACTGCGCTGTCCCTCCACCCTCCCAAGCATGACGTCCTTCTCCAAGGACTGGTCTCTCCTTACAACATGTCCAAAATATGTTAGACGGAGCCTCAGAATCCTTGTCTCCAAGGAGCCATCCAGTTTAACCCTTTCCAAGACAAATCTGTTTGTTTTCCTAGCAGTCCATGGTATTCTCAATACTCTTCTCCAGCACCACAGCTCAAAGGCATCAATTCTCCTTCTATCCTCCCTGGTCATTGTCCAACTATTTGATGCCTAACAAATGATTGTGAAGACCATGGCCTGTATCAAATGCACCTTAGTCTCCAGAGAGACACCAGTGCTCTTCAGTACTTTGGAGAAGTCCCTAACAGCAGACTTTCCCATGGCAATGCGCCTTTTAATTTCCTGGCTGCTGGTGCCAAGACTGTTGACTGTGGAGCCAAGCAAACTAAAGCTGTGAACAATATAAATCTCTTCACCATCAATCCTGATGCTGCCAATTGGTCCAGTGGTGAGAATCCTTGTCTTCTTGACATTGAGCCTCAATCCATATTGGAGGCTGCAGTCTTTGACCCTCTGCAGCAGGTGCTTCAGGTCCTTCTCAGTTTCAGCAAGCAGGTTAGTGTCATCTGCATAACGCAGATTGTTGATAAATCGCCCACCAATCTTGACTCCACATTTCTCCTCATAGAGCCCAGCCTCTCGGATAATCTGTTCTGCATACAGGTTGAAAAGGTATAGAGATAGGATGCATCCCTGGCATATGCCCTTCCCAGTTTTGAACCATGCAGTGTTGAAAAGGTGAGGAAAAATAGGGTTGCTTTCATAGTTAAGAAAGTCATTGCTAGATACATATTAAGGTACAATATTGTGAGTGACAGGATAATATCCATACACATACAAGGAAGTCCAGTGAATACCACTATCATTCAGATATATGCACCAACAACCAGAGCCAAGGAAGACAATATAGAAGATTTTTACCAACTTTTACAATCGGAGATTGAACATTACCAGTATAGTGAAAAGAAAAATTGTAATGAGGCATTACTTTACTCTCAGCAGAGTACAAACATCAGAAATCTGACAATGCCACGTATTGGCTGGGATGTGAGGATTGAGGACTTCTTTTTTTTTTTAATTCTTTTGCCACCTAAAATTTATTAACATCACAGTAATAAACCACTTCCTTGATCAATGTAAAAGAAACAAGCAATCAAACAAAGCAGGGTGGCTTTTAAAAAAATATTTTTTAAAAAAAGTCAAAAGCCAGCTCAAGCAACACCTCTGGGTACTTTTCTCTGACTAGAGGATTGAGGGCTTCTAAAGCAGGGCTGGTGGAATCCTTCGGAAGGGCAATCTGACTGCGGTCACATTAGTGATACTTGCACCTCAGACCCAGCAAGGACAGCCCTGGATAGAAACCCACAAAGAGATTGTCACATCTTCGAAGGTGTGTGCTCCTTAGAAGTGAGGATGGTGAAATTCCGTCTTACCTACTCTGAGCATGTGTGAGGAGGGGAGAGTTATTGGAAAAAGACAGCACACTAGGAAAAATAAAGGGTCAGCAAAAGAGTGGAAGATCGGAAGATCTTCAGCAAGATAGACTGACGCAGAGACTACCTCAATGGGCTCCAGGATGATGGAGATTGTGAGAAAGGCGCTGGATGGGACAAGGCGATCTGTTTTTCACTGGGTCGCTATGAGTCGTAGTCAAGTTGTAGTCCACACAACAGCATCTAACAACAACAGCAACAGAGACGTGCCTGGGAATGCACACAGTAGTACTATGGTGGTGCCTTCAGTGCCCAGTCTTGAGTGGGTAAAACTAGACATCCTCCCTCTGTGAACACCAAGCAGCAGGCAAAATCCACAGATGAACACACAGCGTGTGGGTCCTCAGAGACAGGCTGCTGAGCGAACAGAGTTGAAAACAATGAGAAAGTAGACACAGAATTATTTATGTAAATGATAACTAGATGCACTACAGCACTCCCTTTACAAGGATGCATACTAAACACCTTGTAACAGCTGTCTGTGGACAGAAAGAAAGGCAGTGGGTATAAAAGGGAATAAATAAATAAAATTGTGAAATGAAAATAAAGAACAGGACTTTGCATGGTGATAGGACAGGAAGGAAAAAAGCAAAGAGGAGAGGTGTTACAGAGTAAAACTGCTTCGTGGGGTTTTCTTGGTAAAGATTTACAACTTTGGAAAACCCGTGGCGCGTCACTGTGAGTCAGAACCAGCCAGAGAGCAGTGTGCTGGGGCGGGGACGGGGTGTGTGTGTGTGTGTGATGGTGGTGATATTTTTGTTTCTTTTTTTCTTCCAATCTTCACAAAAGCAGATCGATCTCCAGAAATTCCTTCCACAGCATCACTAGATGGGTCTGAACTATCAACCTTTAGATGAACAATCAGGTGCAAACCATTTGCATAAGTCAGAGATTCCCCTGTCCTTCTGGAGGTCACAACTTAATCAGGGAGGCCTCTCAAGGCCTCTATTTCCCCCATTCTTTCTTCTAAGCTAACTTGTGAAGAACTATGTTGCTGCTTTTTCTAATATCAGGGAGAGCTGCTCATTAGCTTTTGAAAATGAAGCTCAATTGAGAGCCAAGGCCATTGAACCAATCCGTATGCTTCAGGAGCTTAATTCACTTCCAAGCTAGTTACACAAATTCTGCCATTCTCTTTCCAGTATGGATTCAGCAGTCACCACTTTAGGGCCACGTTGCTTCCTTAAGGAGAAGGGAACAGCCTGGCAGTTCATGTAGTGAATTAGGAAGCTTGCAGAGTGAAATGATGGCTTTGACCTCATTTTGTTAAAAGCTGACTTAAAGCAATCATTCCTCCTGAAAGGAAATGGGAAAGTGGATGTAGAATACACATTCTACCCCCTAAAGGAACTTAGAAGAGGATAAAATGTTTCAAACTATTAAGCTATTTAAAAACCTCTCCTCCTTCCCCCTCCCCAGCCATCTACAGAAAGAAATTATAGCATGCAGCTGGGAGTCAAACAGAGTTAAAGGACTTCAGAGCTGCAGGGAATTCTGTCTGCACCAAACTCCACCTTCTTGAAAGATGAGAGACTGAGGCCCAGAGAGGTGATGTGACTTGCTTCAGGACACAGAGTGTTGGAAGGCAGGCTTAGGTGACAACTACTCTCTCTCATTCGGTACCTTCACCTTCCCTGGACAGTGTTCAGAGGGAAAGGACTGGGCTCCTTGCTTCTTCTGGAGCTCCGTGGCTTGTCCACGAAGCCACAGCACACTGAAGGAGATCCCACCATACTTCTCCTCCTGAGGGTGTAAGCAATACTGAGTGATCATGGAGACTCAGGCCTTAAACATACCCTGACAACCAGTGAGCTTCTTAAATCTACCTAAAAGGAGGGGGAAATCCACATCAGAAGAGCTTTTTCCCACCTAAACTTCACTGAGCTGTTTCTGACTCATAGTAACTCTTCAGAGCAGAGTAGAACCACCCCATCGGGTTTCCAGGCCGTGGATCTTTATGAAACCAGACTGCCTCATCTTTCTCTTGTGGAGTGGCTGGTGAATTCGAACCACTGATCTTTTAGTTAGCAGCTGAATGTTTTTACCATTACTAGAGCTCCCCCTCTGCTTCTGGAGTTCATGAAGTGGAGAGATAGATCTGGATCCCAGGTAATACAGTAGAGCCTCTGCAGTGAGGGGCTGCAGCACTTCAGCTTCTGGGCCCAATCTAGACATCTGAATTCCTACCTTCACTTCATTGCCGAGCAGAGAGTTGTCTCCCCAAAATGAAGCTGAAGTAAAGGGATGCTCTCCCAGAATTCCTGGGTGCAGGTGACAAGAGCAGTGACAGGTGTGGTGAGCATGGTTGTCTCTATCTTACTTCCTGTCAGCAGAGAGGCTAAGAATAGACGCTGTGCTCCTGAAACACAGACAGGGTTTTTGAGCTCATGTTTATAAAACAGAGAGAGGGCTCTTTGTCAACACTCCACTGCTACCAAGACAGGCTTTATAAACAGCTAGAAGGTGGAGGGGAGACACTGAGGAAGGGGCTGCAGGCCGAGGTGGGGGCACATCCTGCCAGTTGATGGGTGGTTCCATAATGATCACAGCTGGTAAGGGACTCAGATATTAGGCAAGGCCAGAGACAGTGAGACAGGAGGTCCGAAGCACAGAGACTGAGCCTAACAGCCGCTCACCTGGAGAGGGACAGGTGCTGGGCCTATGACACCAGGCAATGTCCCTTGAGTGTGTTCCCAGGAAGGCCTATTTGAGTGAACAGAGGTCATCTCGTCCTGCTGGGCTCTGCAATGCACTCCAGAACTCCAAAACCCACTGCCATTGAGGAAATTCCAGTTCATAGCAACCCAGTACAACAGAGTCAAATTGCCCCGAGGGGTTTCTAATGCTGAGAACCTTTCTGGGAGCAGGGGAAGAATCTTTTTTCCACAGAGAGTTTAGTGAGTTCAAACAGCCAGCCTTTTGGATGGCAGAGGAATGTTTGAACCATTGCGCCACCAGAACTCCTTACCCTCAGCACAGACCCCTCTCAGTGTAAAGGAGCAGGAACCAAGATGCACAAGGACAATCACGAGTCAGGGATTCAGAGCAACTGGGCAGATTGGGATCTACAGGAGGCTTTGTGGTTGACTGAGCAAGTACTCCAGAAATAAGAATCTATGCCAGCCATGACCCTTGGTCAGAGACAGGATGAGAAAGAAAAAGACATAAGAATTAGAGCTTTGTTTGACAGCAAGTTGAGACAAGTTGCTCGCTGGGTAGTTTTAGAAGAGTGTGCCTTTGTTCTGTGTACCCGCAGCTTCCTAATACGCACTGCTTACTGCACTTATGCCCAGGGTGGTGACTGCCACGTGTTTGTTGGCTGAGCTGGACTTTCTTGAGTCCACATGATTTCTGGGAGACGAGAATGGCAGAGGTCCTAGGGGCCCTGAGAACTGGCCCAGCCAACCTCACTGTCTCTAGAGGAGAGGCTGAAAGCCAGACAGGAGGGGAGCATTTGGGTATGTGTTACATAACAAGCCTGCGTTGACTTCAGTGAAGTGAGCATTAAGATTCTAGGGGTGTGGAGCAAATGGCTTCGTTCTGAGATTGTGAACAAGCTCTTGAATCTGGGTCAATGTGAGGGTTGCTATGAGCTCTCTGAGGGGCTTATGTTTCAACAGACCCCAACGCAGTGCCTGGCATACAAGTAATTGTAGTGAAAATCTACAAGAGCCAGAACTTGACAGGGCTGCCTCAGTTTTCCTGGTCCAATAAGTTTACACTTTTGGCAGGGCATAGTCTTACCACTTGCTTATCTCACTGCATGAGTGGAACATATTTGAGATTTCCTTCTCAGACAGGTCTCCCCCTTGCACAGACTTGGGCTTTCTCTTTTTTAGTTGTACTTAACAACTGCTGTGAAAATGAACAGGAAACAAGTCCTCATTGCATCATATTTAAGATTTACTAAAAGCTACGACCTGTTATGCATCTGAGAGCTGGACAATGACTAAGGATGACAGAAGAATTGATGTCTTTGAACTGTGGTGTTGGAGAAGAGCACCGAATATCCCATGAACTACCAAAGGAACAAACAGATATGTCTTGGAAAAGGTGTGCCCAGACTGCTCCTTGGAGGCAAAGAATATAAAGCTTTGTCTTTCATACGTTGGACGTGTTGCTAGGAGAGGCACTTCCTTGGAAAGAGGCATCATGTTTGGAAAGATGGAGGATCAATGATAGAGAAGATGACCTCAGTGAGATGGGTTGGCACAGAGACTACAGAAAAGGGCCCCCGCGTATCAGGGATGACAAGGATGGTGCAGGGTAAGACAGGCTTCAGGTCTGTTGTTCATAGGGTCACTGTGTGTCATACTTGACTGGACAACATCTAACAACAATAGCTTGTCACCTGCCAGGCATCGTGAACGCTACAGCCTCACAAACCTAAGTAACTTGTCTACAAGGTCAAAGAGCTAAATATTCCACAAGGGCTGTGATGTCAGCACCTTCCTCAATAACCTCACTACAAGAGAGTCACTAGTGGGGTTGGTTGTTGAAGCTTAGGGCCAAGAGAGGAAGCTCATGTGAGGACAGTCTGAGGCCCTGGACTACTGACATAGGTATACTCTCCATCTGTGAGAATGGGAAAGGAGGTCTGGGCCAGAGTTGGAGCCAGCAGCTCTTCCCCAGGAAATGATGCAGAGGTCGATAGGCCATCTCCTCTCCATGAGCATCCTTTCCCGTGGAATGATGCGGAGGTCCATGTGCTGTCTCTCCTCCATAGCATCATTTTCTGAGGAATGATGCAGAGGTCCATATGCCATCTTTCCTCCATGGGCATCCTTCTCCAGAGAATGATGCAGAGCTCTGTGCGCTATCTCCCCAGGTCCAGGAATGATGCAGAGGTCCATATGCCATCTTTCCTCCATGGGCATCCTTCTCCAGAGAATGATGCAGAGCTCTGTGCGCTATCTCCCCAGGTCCAGGAATGGTGCAGAGGTCCATAGGCCATATCCCCTCCATGAACATCTCATGACAGTACCAACCAGGACTTGCCTGATTTTCTCACCCTCAGGTTACATGGCTCCTATTTCCACCTGCATGGCGGCCACATCCCTGACTCCTTGGTTGACCTCACAGGAGGGGTGGTGACCAGCGCTGACCTGTCTGACCCATCTGACCTGGTGCTGGTGGTGAAGATGGCAGCCCAGGCCGGCTCCCTAATGGTCTGCGCCACTCCCGCAGGGGTGAGTGTGGGGCCTCCCTGAGACAGCAGTCCCTGTGCACACTTAGGCCTTTCTGCACCCAAGTATTCAGTCTAGACCCCTTTCAGGCAGTAAGACGAAGCCAAAGCAGCCACTGTTGAACACTTGTTGTGTGTTTTTTCCAGGTAGGTTTTTAACACTTATTGTAGATCTTCATTTGAGATGAAAGCAAAATAAAACAAGCCAACCTCATTGCCATCAAGTGGGAAATAACTCAGAGATGACTCTGCAACAGGTTTGGGGAAGGCTGTAAGTCACACAGGAGAAGAACGCTCTCTTTCCCCAACAGCTGCTGGTGGACTTGTATAGCCAGAGATGAAGCACCTTTGGGTTAGTTACAACTCCCTACAGACCATGCCACAGCACTCTAGCCCTTTACGACTTCATTGACAGCATTCACTTTCCTGATGAAAGTTCCAAAAGGCTCAGTAAAATGCTCACAATCAAGCAATCAGTAAGTGACAGAGGAAGAGTTCAAATGTGGCTGTTAGTTCCAAAGCCTTGGCTGACTGCTTCTCCATGACCTAGAGTGACAGGGTTGAGATGGACGAGGCCCCTTTACTATTCACTGGAAGAGGCAGCCGTGGTTCTCACTGCACGGAGTGCTCTTGCACTTGGCCTCGTGTGTACATGAGGGCTCTGCAGGCAGCACCCCCAGGGTGGTGTAGCCCCCCCTTAGGGGACTCTAGACGACTCCAGATCATCCTAATCTGTTCTGTGGCAGCTAATTCCCAGCCCATGGTGATCTTCCTTCACCCAAGAGAGTAGTTCTCTTACACATCCCATAGCCAAAATGTCACCAGTAAGCTAAGACGCACGCTAAGCCTCAAACATTCATAGCACTCTGTGGGAGGGCACAAGATCCACCAGACATGTTCTGTGCTTTGTCACATTAATGACAAAGGAAGAGAAGATTAGGTCTCAGCTTAGGTCTTCAGAGCTTTGTGGGCTCCATCCATAATGGAGGTGGTGTTCAGGGGTACGACTTATGGGGGCCTCAACTCCCAGTAAGCTCCTTCCTCTGTTTATGTGGAAAGGAGTTTCAGTGGCATGTCCCAGCAAAGACAGTGAGTAGGATGGGCTTAATCCAGCCCCAGCTCTGTTGCTGATTGAATTATGCTTTTCCAATTCTCTGACATTTCCTTTTCTCCTTTGCAGCCAACAGACAGGGATGGCGTGATGAGAAATGGTCTGGTGAGCTCCCATGCCTACACTGTGACAGGCGCTGAGCAGGTAAGAGCAGCCTGATTATCCTCCTAGAATCTGGGCCCTCTAAGCAGACGTCAGCAAAGAATGCCAACAGCCAAGTCCACGGAGGTGGGGTGTGCATCTACCATCCTCACAGAACGTCTCTATTCCTTTAGTGCATTCAGAAGTTCTGGCTCCATTATCCTTGACCTCCAGGAACCAACCAGAAAGCTTGCCTTTTCTGAACTAACCTCAGACAGGTGGACAAATGTCTAGTTAGATAGAGGTATTTACCCATAAAGAAGACAGAATAATTCCTTTGACTCTGGGAGATGGCTTGCCCTGAAAAGAAGGGGTTTTTTTCATTAGGTCCATACTCAATCACTATAAGAAAAACATTCCACAGTATAAGGACTTCAGCAAGATGAGGTAATTCCAGGCTGGTAGGTGGCTCTGCTGTCATTAATATGGGGCCTCCCTGTAGTCCAGGGCAGCTGTTCCCCTGAAGGCAGAGAATGTGAGAGGCCTGGAGAACACCGTCCATCCAGAGAAAAAGCACATACAAGTAAAAAATGGTGGGCATCACTTCCACTCGCATCCCATTGGTCAGAATTAGTCACATGGCCACACTGAGGTACAAAGGAAACTGGGAAATAGGCTTTCTGTCTAGGCTGTCACATTTCCCGGAAAACTTTTTTCAAGGAATGATGAATACAAATACTGGCAGACAGGTTCCAGGCTTTTCCTTGATGCAAGAAGATATTTCAGTGAACAAATACATGTAATTACTGTCTGCCGCATAATTCATTGTGGAAAATGTTACTAAAACCAAAGCTCCTCCATTCATAAATGAAGAGGCCAAGGCATATGAGGGGAAGTGTATTTCGTGAAATCACATAGTGATTTAATGATCTGCTTGGCCCAGACACCACGGCTCCTCTGCTCCATCTACATGCGCCATGGTGCTGTGTGGTAGCAGCATTTCCTAGTCCTGTGATAATTTCCTGCAAATGTTCCCCCAGCTCTCTCTTTCCCACAACTCTTAAGGTCTTCTCAGGTCTAAGAAACGGTGTTGCCAACTACAGAGCCCATTTTTCACAGGTGTTTGTGGGTTCAGTAATGTAGTGTCAAATTATACTCCTGGCATGTTTTCTCAAGCTTTCCCTCTCAGACTTGCATCTGACTGTGACCTCTGGCCGGTTGCTCCATGGCTGTGTGCTTTGCCAAATGTACCAGTCCACACAATGGAGTTGAGATCTCTTGTCTGCTGTCTGTCTCACTAAGTCAGCTACAAAATGCTTCCTCCAGCAGGGACCTAAGGATGGTAGCTGTTAGGTGCTTATCAAGTCCAATTCACAGAGACCCAATGAACAACAGATCTGAACCCTGTCCTATTCTGTGCCAATCTCACAATCTCTGACACACGAGTCCATTGTTGCAGTCACTGTGTCAAGCCACCTGGTTGAGAGCCTTCCTATCCTTCACCACTCTTGCCTTTGCAAGCATGATGTCCCTCCCCAAGGAAAATTATGTGACAGCACATAGCAACTAACAACAACACTAAAGGTACAAGTTCAGCTTGGTTTTCATCAGAAACTTTCCACGGTACCTTTGTTTTCCTGGGAATAACTATTAACAGCCTATAAAACCAGCACTGGAGAGAATTTAATGAATGAAATATTTTCAAGAGTAGTTATCTGGGACTCCCTCTTGTCCAGGGAGGCCCTTTCTGAGATAATTGACCAGGGCTAGGAGTCCAGTCAACAGCCAAGACTGTGAGGTATGTGAGCCAGCTCACTTTTGGATGTGGTTGTGACCGTGGCTTTGAATGTAACCTCTGAGGCACCTGGCCGAGGCCCACGTGGTCTTGGAGTGGGAGCTTCCGTATGGAGCAGCACAATCAAGCAAGGACCAGGAATTTGACTTGGGTAATGATTCCTCCTTTAAAGACAAGCTGTTAGAATTCTGAACCACACACACTGAGATTATACTGGCCCGTAAATGCAGTGTGCTTTTTAATCTGCTCATCCTTCCTCTAGGCGGGACACAGACAGGAAGATAAATGAAATTGGCATTTTTTATTATGCACCTAGCTGGGCTGGAGACTCCCCTGGGCAAGGGGGTGAATGTTTATCTGCATGCCTCATTTAGCCCTGCTTCCAGTCCCTTTGAATCACCGGCTCTTCTCTCCTGTAAGAGCTGGAGCCGGCCCTGGGCATCTGCTAGGCACTGAGGGTGAAGCCTCAGTTTGGGTCACCAGGTGGCCATTTCTCCTGTCCTTGATCCTTGGGCTCTGTGAGATTCTATTCCCTGAGAATTCACTGTAGGCAGGCTGCTAGGGGCTGAGACAGATGGGAAGTGTGAGTTTGCACCCTGGGCCTCCCAGGCAGTGCTGACAGCCGTAGTACCTTTCATCACAAGACTGGTCAGAGACAGAGAGGTAAAACAGAGAACTTCTTGCAAGTTGACCTCTTTGATCTCTGTTTTGGCCCTGTTCTGACAATTACTTCCGGGTCTGAGTATAAATTTTGCAAGAGCACAATCAAGAGTTCTGGGATTCCTATTCTCCTCAAGGTCAGCCACAATTTATCGTGATCCACACAGTCAATTGCCTTTGCATAGTCAATGAAACACAGACACTCTTCTGATACTCTTTGCTTTCTGCCAAGATTCATCTGACATTGGCAAAAATATCTCTAGTGTCACAACCTCTCCAGAGAACTGAGAAGCAATGATGTCAGTCTAGAGACTAAGGTGCACCTGATCCAGACTATGGTTTTTGAAATTTCTTGCTATGCATTAGAGAGCTGGACATTGACTAAGGATGACAGAAGAAGAATTGATGCCTTTGAGTTGTGGTGCTGGAGAAGAGTCTTGATCATACTGTAGACTGCCAAGAAAACAAATAGGTCTGTGTTGAAGAGGGTGAAACCAAGTTTCTCCTTGGAGGCTAGGATTTTGAAGCTCCATCTCACATACTTTGGGAATGTGGCCAGGAGGAACTGATCCTTGGAGAAGGACATTGTGCTTAGAAGGGTGGAGGGACAGCGCAGGAGAGGAAAATCCCAGATGAAATGGACTGACACAGTAACCAGGTTAATGGGGATGAGTAAGTTGGAGTCAGTGAGATGGGCCCAGGACAGGGCAGGCTTCAGAGCTGTGGTATATAGGGTCACCATGAGTCACAGGTGACTCGATGGCACACAACAACAACAATGGGTGAGAAGTTGCACTGTTAACCCAATGACAACCAGTACAAATCCACAGAAGAAAGAAATCTCTTCCTGTATGATTCACTGCCTCTGATAACCTGCTGGAGGGTCATTTATGAATAGGTTCTGACTCGACAGAACATAACAACAAAGGGATTGAATGACAAACCATGAAAGCATTTAACAAGCACCTGGCCCCCAGCCCTACCTGCACCTCTTATTAGCAGGGTCCAGCCCTTTATATAGAAACAGTTTCACTGAGAGAAGGGACGAGGATGAAATGAAGATGCAGAGAGACTACTCGCTGGTGACGAATAGCAAAATTTATTCTTTTTAGAAAAGCATATATAGGTTTTAGAAACACATCTGCAGTAGCAATCACATTATCTCTTTCCATCCGAGATGTTGACTATCAGGTCAAACATTAACTCTTACAGACCTCAGAACAATACAAAGATGTTTTCCAGCATGCCTTATTGAGTGCTCTAAGAAACAAAGAGTTTCTGTAGATAACATTCCCTAAGGTCTGAGACATTTGGCCACTCTTATTCACTAACAACCTACTTCCTTGAGTTGTTAATTGCCAACCAGATTTTCTAGCCAAGATGGAGTTAGTCTTGCTGGTTTTACAGTACAGTGCTAATCTTGCTTTGCAAGTTAGCCAGGCCCCCGACATCTTACTGTTCTTCATTAGCGACACCCCATTCAGGGCTATGACCTAGAGTTTCTGAACAGGTTTGCCTCCTTTCCCTTGCTTATCTGGCCTCTGTCTCCCTGGGTAGCCTTCTCACAGGTCAACACCTCAGCTACCACTCAATCCTTCTTGAATTCCTCTCACCACACTGGGAACTCTAATTCCTTAGTAATGTAGCCTCAAGGGCTTGTTATTTTGTCATAACCTTCCCCCCCACCACCCCGGTCCTACTCTCTGGCTTAAGTGGTCTAAAAAAGCAAATTTGCTAACTGGTACCTCAGTATCTGGGAATAAGTGATAGTGAGTGGCCAGCATTCAGGCCAATGGGTGACCTGCCCCAGGCAGGGGCCCCATGACAGGAGCTGGTGCAGGCTTGGAAGATTGGCTGACAAAAGACACCCTCCAGTGTCTGAAGAGGACACTGCTCAACTCGGCAACACCGAGGGAATGTGGGACTGCTTAAATAAGTCTTTCAAACCCCTTACACAGGAGTTTCTAGACAATGTCAATCAACAGCTAAGTAAATGCTCATCTGTCCACTAAAAGGGCGATGGTTCAAGTCCACTCAAAAGTAGTTTAAAAGAAAGTCTTGGTGATCTACCTTCGAAGAGTCAGCCACTGAAAACACTGTGGGGTATGACTCTGCTCTGATGCACAAGGGATTGCCGTGGGCAAAAACCAAAAAGGCTTTGCTTGGGGTTTACCTTCTTTGCTCCAGAGAGCTCTGTGGAAACCACAGCTGCCAGTGGGCTAAAGGCAGCAACAGGGCGGTACCAGTGGAATAGAGATATGGCTGTGATGGGCTCTGGAGAGGCTGGGGACCCTGGAGATCCATCTTCTAGAGACCCTAGCAGCATCCCAAGCTCTTTGCGACTGCATCCCCACTCACCAGGTCCTGGGATGCCAGGCAAACTGAACAATGAATTTGCACCTGCCCCGCAAGGTGCTGAGTGAGAGAGGACCCATTTTCTCCACGCTCTCATTTCTGCTCCTGGCATGCAACAGAGACATTGATTTTTCTCTTTTTCAATTCCCCCTACCCCACCCCCGACTGCAGCCAAATGAGGTCAGAAGTTAAATTAGTTCTTGAGGTAAAGGCAGCTGCATTCACATTCCTTCTTTTTACTGGCTTCTGCCGGGGAGCAGTGACTGGTGCCTTTTGTGTTCTTTCCAGATTCAGTACAGGAGAGGCTGGGAAGAAATCATCCGCCTGTGGAACCCCTGGGGCAAAACCGAATGGAGAGGACGCTGGAGTGATGGGTATGTCTTCTGGAAATGCTCTCCATCCGTCATGGAGAGCCCGGTGGGCAAACTCCCTCCTCCCATCCGATAGAGAGGCGCTTGACTGAGTGTGTCGCTCTGTGTGACCATCAACCGAGCGGCTCACGGGTTACAGATGAGGCCAAAATCCACAGCCACAGCCGGGAATGGACTGACTACCTGCCTCACTGCCCTGGCTATCGACTGTCCCGATCCAGTGAGCTCTCCCTGAAGTGGGAGACCATAGAGGGCCCAGGTGATCTGTTCCCCATGCTCCCTCCTCCTCTTCCTCTTGCCTGCTGCAGTTTGTGGCATACCTGTGTATGGTGGTATCTCTGATGCCACACTCAGAGCATGCTGTTCTCAGAGCATCCGTGAGCCACCTACCATGCGCACTCAGTGTAAAGCTCATTGTAGTAGGTGCTGGAGGCACATACAGATGGCCAGATCCGGGCCTGTCCTCCAGACAGTTTCAACCTAGATCTGGGAACCCAACTACGCTACCTTAGTGAAAGAGAGGAGGCGAGAAAGGAGCCACAACCCCACCTAAGAAAGAGGGAAGTGGAAAGAAGGAACAAAACCCTATAGAGTGATCCCCTAGTTCTAATCCTCGCTGTCATTAGAAGGGAAAATCCTTCCTTCCTAAGGGGCCTGGAAGCACAATTCTGAATAATCATGTTACCTTGTCACTGAACCATCAGTCCTGCCCTGTTCACCAGGACTCCCACCTGAGGACAGTGTGTGGACAGTGCCCTCTTACAAGTTGCTACATGCCAGTGAGTCTGAAGTGACTCATAGCTGACACTCCATTTCAGAAGCTGTGAATCACATGAGAGGAGACTGCCTATTTTTCTCTCACAGAGCAGTTGGTGGATTTGAACCATATGACTGTGAGTTAGTAGCACAATTCCTTACCCACTAGGCCACAAGAGCTCCCTGCTCAAAGACACCCAAACCCTTTGCTGCCAAGTCAACTCCAACTCATGGGGACCTCAGATGTGTTAGAAAAAACCCACACAAATCACATTCAAACCCACAGTAAATTCAGAATTAGACCACCAGGTCTTTCTTCTGTAGTGCTGCTGAGTAGGTTTGCCTGCTGAATTTGAACAATCTTTAGATTAGCACCATCTAGGGGCCTTGTCGTATATGCTGAAAAGTTTTCCTGGGATGTACAGTTAGTTCTAGGTGGTCTTAGCTGCCCTGTTGGGCATGTTTCAGAGAGCAGCCGTCTGCTTGGTTGACAAGGGGTTAGGGTTAAGGTTGTTGTTGTTGTTTGTTGTTGTTATGTGCCATTGAGTCACTTGCGATTCACAGCAACCCTATGTACAGTAGCCCTGAAACCTGCTTTATCCTGTGCCAACCTTATTGTCTCCGACACACCTACCCACATTACCCCAGTCACTGAATCAGTCCATCTCATCGAGGTCTTCCTCTCCTGTGCTGTCCCTCCACCCTCCCAAGCATGATATCTCTTTCCAAGAACACGTCCCTTCTTGCAACATGCCCAAAGTATGTCAGACAGAGCTTCAGAATCCTTGCCTCCAAGGAGCAGCCTGGTTTCACCCTCTCCAGGATGAACCTGTTCATTCTCTTGACAGTCCATGTATATTCAATACTCTAGCACCACAGCTCAAAGGCACCAATTCTCCTTCTATCATCCCTAGTCACTGTCCAGCTTTCTGATGGATTAGGGTTAGGTGTGCTTCAATGTCTAATCATCAAACCCCAAAGAACTAGGCTGCTGTATCTCAGCAGCCAGGAGGGCTGACCCCTGTTCCCTGTCACCTCACTGACTAAGCATGACCTGTAGCGGTGGCCTTAAGAGGGCTGCCACATCCACAGCTTTCTTGATCCTGTTCCTCTCTGCAGCCCGAGGGGACACTCCTTTAAGAACTTGCACAGCTGGGTGAAGTGTCAGGACACAGACAGCACAGCAACACTGGGGAAACATGATCTGAAAGGAAATGCAATCTATTCAGACAAACAGGAGAGCAGGGCCAACAAGCAGAGTGAATCAATACAGTGTGAACGTGGCTTCGGAAAGGGCTACCGAGGTCAGCCAGTGCTCCATCCATAGGGCTGCCCTGGTCCCTGGTGCCCTGGTGCTGTGAGCCTCTGAGGCTGGGGACCTAGCAAAATGTGAGGTGAGCATATCCCTGGAAGTGAAGAGCTAGGTACAGAAAGGAGGAAGAGGAAGAGGGAGGAAAGAAGCCAGAGGGATTTTTAAAATAAACCTGGGCATGACTTCAGATGCCCCATTAAAACAGGGAATTCTAATCTTCTGTCATAGGAAGAGGAATGCATTTGCAAAACCAAATGAGACTAAGTTTGGCAGAGAAGTGAGAAGAACTTGGTAAACCACTTCTCATGATCACCTGGTTCCCCAAAGCAAGGACAGCAAGCTATGACCTGCAGAGCACATATGTCCTGCCACCTATTTTTGTAAATGAAGTCTTATGGACACACAACCCTTCCCATTTATTTATGTGTGACCTAGAACTGCTTTTATACTACAACAGCAGAGACTTTAGGGTCCACAGAGCCTGCAATATTTACTATTTGTCCTTTACAGACTATATTTGCTGGTGTCTACTATAAACACCTCCCGAACTCCAGTTGGGATCATTTGGACTTAATAAGGAGGCTGAGGTCTTCTGTTCCATATGCAGTGGGTGGCGGCAGCCTGCAGGAAACCTGGGTTCCCATCCCAAGTCCACCCTAGACTCTATTTATAGCTCCATGCATGGGCAAATAACATACCACCTCTGTTTCTGCTTTCCTCATCTACCAGAGAGGGTTAAGAATGCCTTCTTTGCAAGGTTGGTGTGAATGTCAAATATACTAGGTCTTTTAAGTGGTAGCCATCTCAGATCACTGCTGACACTCAGTTTTGGTCAAGCAACCAACACAACATGTGTTAGACAAGCACCCACTATGTAACAGCACAAGAGACATATCAGATGCAGTCATCAGTAAACCAATTAATAGGAATAGACAACTTTTAGAGTCAGAGCTGACAGTCTGGCTTTGTTTCCAACTCTTGTCTGTACTAGCTCTGTGGCCTCGGGCAACCCCCTTCACCTGGCTGGCCCTTGATTCTTCACCTCTCAGATTGGGCTGATATTAGAACCTAGGGATAGGGACTTGCGTGGCCAACCCAAAGGCACATGGTTCAAATCCACCAGCTGCTGTGCGGAGAAAGATGGGCAATCTCCTTCCATGCAATTTACTGCCTCTGAAAAACCCTGGAGGGTCAACTATGGGTCAGTTCTGACTTGATGGCACTTAACAGCAACTAGAACAGAAAGAGCCCTGGTGACATCATGGTTAAAGAATTGGGCTCCTAACCCAAAGGTTGATAGTTTGAACCCACCAGCTACTCCACAGGGCGGGAAATGAGGCAGAATGTTACTTGAAAGATTTACAACCTTGGAAATCTGAGGCAATTCTGCTCTGTCTATAGAGTTTCTATGAGCGGGAATCCATTTGATGTCAGGGAATTTGTTTTTGTTAACAGAGATATGACCAGTTTAAATGAGTTAACATATGTAAAGCAGTACTTAGAAGCCAAAGTCCTATAAAACCCAGTTGTTATTATTGTAAGTATCATTGGGAATTCAAGTCTGCTTCCCTTTTATTATGTATAACATGTTATTGCATGTTTTTCTCATTGAAAATACACACAGCTTCATAATGTACACTGATTCAACAATTCCTACAGGGGTAACTTAGTAACATTGAGGTACATTCTTCAAGTTGTGCCACCATTCTTCACCCTCTTGTTTTAGATTGTTCCTCCTCCATTAGCACAAACTCACTGCCTCCGAAGTTTTATATCTAAACTTTAGGGAGTTTGGGTAGCATAGTCTACAGGAGTAGTGCTGCTAACTCAAAGACAATCTAAGCTCTTTGGTTGTTCAAATCCACCAGTGGGTCTGTGAGAGAAACAAAGGCATTTTCTTCTCATGAGATGCAAGGGTCCACTGGAGGTTCAGCTCTGAACCCACTGGAGGGTCAGTTCTGAGCCCGCTGAAGGGTCAGCCGTGAGCCTGCTGGACAGTCAGCTATGGTTAGCTATGATTTAAGAGCAGTGAGAGACAGTATCAGTTTTATTTGTTGATGTTGTTAGGCATTGTCAAGTACAACTAATAGCAAGATATGAATAACAGATCTGAATCCAGTTCTGTCCTGTGCCACCCTCTCAATCTCAGACATACTTAAGCCCATTGCTGCAATCACTGTGTCAATCCATCTGGTTAGGTTAAAAGGGGACAGTGTTTTAGACAGATAGTCTTTATGAATTAAGCTAAACTAGCATTTGTGAAGCTGCTTTCATATGTACTGGTGTGGAAAGACACTCAGATACACTTCTCATGAAGAAAGGCTGGAAAATCAGGTGATTTCTGAGAATATATGGGAATGGTGGTGTTTACAAACATGCTAAGCAGACAGAACACGACATAGTTCAAAATCAGAAAAGGCATATGCCAGGGATGCGTTCTATCTCCATACCTTTTCAATCTATATGTGGAACAGATCATCTGCAAGGCTGGACTCTATGAGGAGGAATGTGCCATCGGGATTGAAGGAAGACTCATCAACAACCTGCATTAGGCAGGTGACAGAACTTTGCTTGCCAAAACCAAGGAGAACTGGAAACATTTGCTGCAGAAGGCCAAGGAATGCAGTCTTCAATATGGATTGAAACTCAACATCAAGAAAATAATGATTCTTACCACAGGGCCAATTGACAGCATCCTGATAGATGGTGAAGAGATTAAGATTGTTCAGAATTTCAGTTTGCTTGGTTCCAAAATCAACACACTCTGCACCAGTAGTCAGCAAATCAAAAGACAAATTGTATTGGGAAAATCTGCTGTCAGAGCCCTCTCCAGAGTACTGAAGAGGAATGATATCTGTCTAGAGACTAAGGGGTGTCTGATCCAAGCCATCCGTGCTCTTTGCAATTACTTGCTACGCATCAGAGAGTTGGACAA